TTTGGCTGTGTAGGCATGCTTCTTGTGTGTGTGTGTGCGTGCGTGCGCGTGCGTGCGTGCGTGTGTGCGTGCGTAGATTTATATATGTAGTTGAACAGAAGTTGCTGTAATATGCAGCAGAACCTGGCCACCATCATCAGTGCTCATTATGTTTCTCTTGTGCCTGCAGTGCATCAAGCGATGGTTGAAGAAGCAGAGTACCTGCCCCACATGCAGAGTTCACGTTCTCATCCCTGATGAATTCCCCGAGCTTAGTCGCAGCTAACTAACGCGTGCGTCGGTTCGGCAAATAGATCTCCTCGAGTGTTTGGTTTTGAATGGTTAGTCGATTGCCTAAACGCAATAAAGCCAGTGACAATTACTTAAACGTTCCGTTAAAGAACACGTTCCGTTAAGAAACACGTTCTGTTAAAGAACATGTTGCGTTGAAGAACACGTTGCGTTAAAGAACACGTTCTGTTACAGAACACGATCTGTTAAAGAACACAATCTGTTGAAGAACACGATCTGTTGAAGAACACGTTCTGTTAAAGAACACCTTATTATAGCTTTACGAACCATGTTATACTCGTAAACAGAATATTATAACTGTGCACGCCATGTTATAATCCACTAGTTCTATTCCAAATTGGAAGTTTTTAGTTAATAGTTTTTTCGTAGTTGTCCGTTTGATTTTACGATCGTAGTAATTAGAAAGAAATAACGCGAATCCTGTATTTTGTTTGTATATTATGTTGCCCTTTTAAATGTGGTAACATACGCATTTAAACCTTATATGTTCGCAGTTTGAAAATCATCTTATATGGATTATTTATAATCCTAGTGATGTAGTTTGAAATCAGATCGGTCATCACATCACAATCAAATCACATCTTGTCAGATTGGGTTTTCACTCGCATAAATTAATGACGATGTTGTTGAAACATGGCGCTGCATTCGCGCTTTCTTACGAGTGACGCTTGGATGATATTTTACAGGCTGATGTTAACGGTAGTATCTGGTGATTTCTTACCTTTTTCCATGATGATGCAGATATTAATCCTGGATGGATCTTTACGTCACAATCTTCATTACACAATTTCTTTTTGTGATTGGCAATTTAAAATTTGGATTTCAATTAATGTAGATTCATTTGGCTAGAGTGTAAAAGTAGTGAGCGAGACAGCTCTACAGTATTGAAGCGTGGTTGCCTGCGATCATATATGTCATCAATAGATGTTTACTACGGATCGTGATGTGTGGTAACTGGAGATTCCTTACCTTGGCCTGAGTTTATTTGATAAAAAATCTATTGCGGAGGTCATCGGGAGTTTAAAACCAACTCCTGATCATATTTTTTTTACATGTAATTAAAGATTTTTGATTAAAAATTTAAGCGTAGGACTTACGCGTTTGCATTTTTTATGTACTATTGCATTATTTTTATATTGGAAAATTAAAAATATTTCTACGAATGTATAAATGAAGGAAGTAGAATAATGGCATTTTAGGGTAAAATGCAGTGCGTGCGTGCGTGCGTGCGTGCGTGCGTGCGTGCGTGCTTGCGTGCGTGCTTGCGTGCGTGCGTGCGTGCGTGCGTGCGTCTATAACGTTAAGAAAATCGGGGGAAATCATTCCATTACCTGTCTTACACCGTCAGTTTCACGTCTGTCTGGGTATATTTGTCTTTTGGTAGTTTCTCATCGTCATCTCCCTACAATCTCTTCTCGCTCTCTCTCCGCCTCTGTCTTTCTTATCTCGTCTTTCTTCCTCCCCCCTCCTCCGCCTGCCCTCTCTATCTCTCCCCTTTCTCGCTCGCTCTCTCCGCCTCTGTCTTTCTTACCTCGTCTTTCTTCACCCTCTATATGTATATATACAGGGACCGCGGAACGATGTTTGAAGTGGGGGTGTTCAACTTGTTACGATCCAGTAGAGCGATTTTGTGATAGCGCCGGTGCTAGAGGTGGGTACGGGAAGGGGTTGTCCTATCCCGCGCGAAGCGCGGAATTATAAGCGCTAATAATAAATAAATACATTTATCGGGTTGCCTCATCATCCGTCGGGCGCGGCCGAAATCGTGGTGAGTATATCACTCATCATGACTTTTCCGATTTCTAGGAGAACATTAGCGGTCACAACTCCTGCTAATGAAGCTCCTTATAAGCGCTAGCACTAATTATATGGGAGAAGTAATAATCAGTGCCGAAATGCCGATACAGCGATGTTTAAACGCGTTTCCACGAATTCCACTTCCATGTGGTTTTATTTATTCCGGGGCACTGGCGGATCCGGCATTTCAATGAGGGGGTGAGTAATAGGCAGGGGTATGGGGGTTCTCCCCCAGCAAATTTTTGAAAATGTAGATCGCAGGAGATGGTATTTAAGGCACTTTTGAGCCTCATTCTGATTTACAGCACAGCCTTCATTCTGCAACCTGCTTTACCACTCAATTACATAATTGTATAGTAATTTAACCCATGCATCAGGTAGAGTTTTGTACAGCCACGCGACCATTATACTTAGCAATAATTAATTGGTATAATATACCAACACATATATTATGTGTAAAAATATTGTTACTCCAGCGGAGGGGGGGGGGCACCCAATCCACCACCCCTCTTAATCCGCCACTGCAGGGGTATAGCTTTGAATAGTGTTTGTTGTGAACTTTGCACATAAGACATCAAAACAGGAAGATGTGTGTGTAAACGACCCATGTTCTTAACTTCCTTCTTAAATCAAAATTCATCAGAATACTGTATAAAACTTTAGCCCCATAGCTGACGACACCATTATACAGGACGGACCTCCTCAAGGACACGGAGGCAGTCGGTTTTTGCTACGAGACGAGTGGTGTACGGCGTGTTACGTGTATCGTCGGAGAGTTAGGTTTTTTGCTACTTGGAGCGTGTGTCGCCCCGTGTCGCCGTAGCGAGAGAACGAGAGGTGTACGGCTAGTGTCGTCGGGGAGACGGTGTTGCTATGTAGAGCGTGTGTCGCCGTAGCGTGAAGACGAGAGGTGTACGGCGTGTATCGTCGGGGAAACAGTGTTGCTATGTAGAGCGTGTGTCGCGTAGCGATGGGAGACTAGCTATGTCTAGACTATAGGACTGGCTATTCCGTCATAGGGAGCGAAACCCTGACAACTTGGCACATTTAGACGTGTTTTTGTACGTTTTTTACTCTGTTATTCTTCTGCCTCAGCATACTTTGCCTTACCTCATCTATAGCTCCAAGAAACGGTATTGCTAGGGTTAGAATACAGACAATATATAGACAATCCGTCGCACAGCCTGGTCGGGCTACCTCATCTACAGCTTGCTTATCTGCTGCAGCATGTGAAACACTATGGTGTGTATTCTGTTTCATAATTCGATTCAAATTCATTCGATGCGTGAATCGAATGATTCGA